TCCGTCTCCAGGTGAGGAGCAACTTCTTTACTGTKAGGGTGACAGAGCAGTGGAACAGGCTGCCCAGGGAGGTTGTGGAGTCTCCTTCTCTGGAGGTCTTCAAAACCCGCCTGGATGCCACCCTGTGCCACATGCTCTAGGTGTGCCTGCTTGAGCAGGAAGGTTGGACTAGATGATCTGTAGAGGTCCCTTCCAACCTTAAATATTCTGAAATATTCCTTATTCTTGCATTATGCTTTCTTGGAAAGGGTGACGCATTCCCTGTTAGAAAGGCTGTAATTAGAAAACACCTGTCTGTATTTAAGAATTTGGTGGAAGTTCATCATACAATTTGCCTTGAGCACTGAAATAGAAAAATTTTATTTGGCTTCCTTTCAAGATTCTCTAGACAATGTGTAGTAACACAATATTCATTCCCATAAATAGTCTTTATACAGCTCGATGGATATTTCTTACACTTAATCTTCTGTAATTGATCTTTTTTTGCTTGATAACTTTAGAAGTTAATTTTTTGATTTTTCTAAAATAGAAACTATTTTTTAAATTTTATTTTCTCCTCAGAGTATCAGACAGTCGTCTGAGTGAGATCTCCCTTTTATGTGTCCCTCTGATTACTTTGCCTGATCTTACTCCATTGCTGGAAACTCTGCTTCTTTGCCATGGAAGTGCGTCACAGGAAGTTCTCAGTTCAGAGTTTCTAGAAGCTGTGAATGAAGCCTTTCTAAAGTAAGTAGCATTTTATCTATATTCTTCCTGCTCTTCTTGAGAAGATTATTAAACTACTGAAAATAAATTTTACATGGACTTAGATGTTCAGTGCATTCAGCATACACTTTTTTTTTTATAATAACATTTAATAACATATTTCCACTTGAATAGCAGATCTAGAGCTGTAAGGCAAAACACAATTTTTATTTGCTGATCAAATTATGCCATAACAGCTTTAGATGTTTACTGAACTCCTTCCCACCTTTTCTCTAAAATGGAAATGTAGTTCTGCACTTTTTAAAGGAGATTGTATGAAAGATATTATCTCTTTTCATTGAAGTAATCTTTCCCTTACATAAAATTGGATGAACAGAAAGTTTATAAAATAAAAATTCAAATAAAAACTGTATTATTACCAAATTGTAGTTTTATGTGTTCTTAAACGGCTTTTTTGATACTATAGGAACACTTGGGGAACACTTCATCCTAGTGTACCCACTTCTTTCTAATCAAAGTTTTAACTGCTTGCTTTATACTCAAAAGCAACTTATCTCATTAGAGACATTCAGATAAAACTTCTTATATACATCATTGTTTCCTTGAAAGGTCCATCAAAAAGATGTTAACTCTATGAAAAGAGCAATTGCTAATGTGTTATGTATAACTGCCTCTAGATATTTCTCCAAAGCTGAGGAAAATTAATGGAAAAATAAGAATCTGAAGATCTTTAGTGAAAACGTGCTTCCAAAAGAGAGTGAAAAACTCTTTCACTCATCTGTCTTCTGTGGCTTCTGATGAAGCTGTTCACGAAGGAGAGCAGGTACCCAGCTAAGCATGGTTGGTATGTTCTCATGTCAGTGAGACTTACAAGGTCATGAAAAGTTCTAACTGAAATAAACTGCCCTCAGTTTATTTGATGAACTACTTGTTCACCTCAGTGAGCAAAAATAATTCTGTTGTTGTCTGAATGACTCATTAAGGTTTCTGACAAAAGTCACTCTTTTCTCTGAGGATGGATGTAGCCATCTTTTGCATGATATACTCTTGGTCTTTCCCTGAAGCTCAAGTAATCTCAAGAATTTTTATCATGTGTTTCTCCCTGACACATGCCCCACCTGCAAATGTGATTAATTAAGCTATGTTTTCCCTAGCACTCTCACTGTGTTCTAAACACATTTCTTTTTGGTGAAGTCCACCCTATGAATTACGGTCACTAAATGCTAGGAAGAAACATGTGACCTACAGTGCTTCACAGAACCTGAGGATGTCCAACTAGGGACGTTTACGCGTACACTGATAGAAATTTAAGGAGTGTAATTTGTTTGCCATGTCAGTTTAAGATTTGAAATATCTCCTTATTCTTAGATTTCTATTATTTCTGGTATAATATCTGTCATGTTATCATTAAAAAATATAAGTGAGAAGGACTTATTAGAAAAACTAAAAGTTTATATAATTTTAATTTAATATGGATATTTTTAATAATTGCTTTTTATATACTAATTGTACAGCATTTGAGATCATTCTAATGATAGAATTCTATAATTCAGCTGAGTTATAGCTGAAAGTTTCAGGTAAAAAGAGATAATTATCTTAAACACATCTCTTTCAAAAGACTCTGATCAACATTGGTAGACTCAAGAACTGATCTAATTTGTTTGTTTTCTTATTTCTTTGCAAAGACCAGGTAACACTTCGCATTATATCTTGCAGTAAAATTATGTAGAACCTTTCGGCTTGCCTGCCAGCTGCTGACATTTTCTAGTAGCAGGTATGCAGGAAACAGACTGAGTTTCAAAGAAGGGAGTATGAGGTAGAATGTTCTCTAGGGAATTAAGGAACTCCAGACTTGATCTGTTTCCACTTGCTGGAACCTGGCAAAGACAAATTTTTGATTTTATAAAAGACATTTATTGAAGTTCATTTGTAGTTGATGGTCATGCCCTGTTAATCTTTGACATTATTTCATAAAGCTTTGGTCATCTTTGGAAAGCATTACAGTCCTGCCTGTACAGTCCTACAGAGCAAAGCACTGTAAACAGGTTTGTCTCTTTTATTGGAAGCTGATCTCCATTCCTTTTTTTTTTCCCCAAATGTGTTTTCTTTGTTTGTCTCCCAATTTGTTAGTGAAAGTACTGTTTTTCTCCTAAACCAGAAAGAAGATCTCCCTCACGGAAACTGCTGTCTTCAGTCTATGGCTTCGTCACTTACCAAGCCTGGAAAAAGCTACTTTTGATCTTTTAGACCAACTCGTTTCCACTCAGATGACTTCACTGGAGGAAGTAGCTTGTGTCATAAAAGATTCATTATTGGTATGTAGAGCAGTGTGTGTTTGGTTCTATATGTTCTGTCAAGACAGAGAGTTCTCAAATAAATGGCAACATCTTTGAGTGAGAAGGGCTATTGAGTGGCATATAGCTTGCTAATACAAAGACAATTCTTAACTCTTATAAGTGTAATTTAAATTTTCAGTTTTTATGCTGAATTGATGAGAAGAAAGATTAGACCCGTAGGCTAAGGAAGACCAATCTGATTGATGGGGGTGCCTTTCTACTCATATCTTTGTGCCATTTGGGGTTTAGCAGTGTAAACAATTGGAATGCTTGGTAGATTTTTTTTTTTTTTGTGGAATATTTGTTGCTAGGTTTTGTGTGCAAACACGAACAAAATTCATAATGTAAAATATTTGCTAAGCTGTAATTGAAATTTGATTTCACATGCTGTGATATATAATGCATGAATGCATCTTTTTTAAACATAATTACCTTTTAATGACAGCATCTCCAAACTTATATTAGTTTGTAAAATGAAATATAAATTTAAATGCAATGATGTGCAATGTGTGCTTACACTCTATATTTCATAAAGCAGAGCTCACTCAAAAATGAGCTATCATATTTACCCTATGAAATTTTGTAGTGTGTATTTTAAAAATGAAAAGAAATGATATATATTTAGAATTTTATCCTTTTTAATTAAATCTGCAAATTTATATTTCAAGAGTCTTTTACAGTGTTTTGAAAACTCTTAAGTTTTTCATATACTTAACGTCTTAGTTGGGATCTGAATATTCCAAATGTCTGTATATATGATTTTTCTTTACTAAACACAATATAAGAGTTGAATAGAGTACAGAGTACCATACATAGATAGGAAATAAAAAAATCTAGGTTTTACATAGAGGAGTCAAATCTTTATCATAATTACTGCTTTAATGTTATTTATTTTCATATATGAATAGTTTCCACACCTGGCTCCCTGAAAAGGGTGCTAAGTTACTGTGCTAGCACACTTAAGCTGTGCTTTTTGCCTCTGCTCCAGAGAAATAGAGCTTCAAAGGAAAGTATTTGCAAGGAAAGACCCGTGCGGCAGCTTTGAATGGTGGTTTAGAGAGGACATCCTGTGGACAAGAAGTGGTATAAATGAGGGGCTGTGGATGAGAATAGCTTGAAGGTGGATATTACTTGTTGATTAGGAATAAAGTATTGAGAGCGAGAGTAAGTGAGTAGAGTATTGAGAGCGAGCGTAAGTGAGACACGGCAACTGAAAAAGACAGGGAGAGAAGCTCCAGAGAGGCAGTAAAGAGGGAAGAGATGGGATTCCACAATACATATTAAAAGTGTCTAATGATATCCCTGTAAGTTGTATTGTACTTGTATTTATGTGATAGTGAGATCAGTGAGCATTTTAAATTCAACCATATGGTTAATTCAGCCTGATTAGAAAATATCTGAATATATATTTAGGAGTTATTTGAATACTCTATTCATACCCTTTATATTTAGGGATATGGAAATGTATTTTTTCAACAGTAAGATTGTCGTATTTTTATCTTGTAATCATAAGACAGAAGTAGATTGATAGAGCCTTTTTGCAGTTTGCAGTGACAGCAGTGGAGTACAAATATGGCGGAAATAAATTAGTGATTGAATTCAATGACAATAACAAAACTTGAATAAGCTGTTTTGTAATTGCATTGAACAATTTGTCAAATCAAGTTATCTTGATAGAACAACCAAATGTAGATAAACCTCATAAAGATCTAGAGTACCTAGCGAGTAGAAAACTACTGTATTTTTATTATGAAAGAAGCTTGATATGCAGTGTTATTACACTGAAATTCTGAAAGTAATTAGAGTGTGATGGTCCACTAACTTGTGTTTTATATGGTATGCTGTTAAACATTTTTTTGTCTGTTGAAGGGAACTGGGTATAATAGTGGAAATTCTATAATTACTGACAAGTAAGAAATACAAAAACTAAGTGCCTTACATGTTGCTCATAATAAAGTGGCCTTTGCAAGTGCTCTTTTATTTAACAATTTGGTGTGTGAAGGTATCTCTCATTGCAAAGTAGGTTTAAAATTTCCATTTGGGAGTCAATTGCTAAAATGAAAATAAATACACAAACTAGGTGTCTTATCTTGGCTACATTTATGTGAACATATTTTTAAAGCGCTTACATAAACTATCATGAACAAATTAGTGTCAGTAGTGCTCAGCTTTTAGTTATTTTTTCAAAATAATTTTCCTTCTTTCCAAGTTATGTTGTAAGAAAGCCCTAATCTACTTCAGGTTGAAAGTGCTTAAAATCTGATCTCTTTCTCTGTTCTGTTATTGCTTTTCTTTTGTTTTTCCGTGCTGTTGACTGTCATAAGTCTGACCCAGAATCAAAAGTGTGTTACGCTCTACAGAGTTCTCGCTCTGTGACCTCCTTTGCTGTTGTTTTCACTTCAGCACCACAGTCAAAACAAGAGTTTCAGTAAGTGATAGGGCGACTCTTTCCTATTTCCATATAGGTTATGAAGCTGGAGACAGGCTCCCTTTGTGGGATCTTGTGCGTTTCCTCATTGCCAGGGACCCAAGGTAGCCACATCCAGGCTCGTCTTTCACTTGCTGTTGTGCCAGAAGATGGTGGAAAGAAAGAGCAAAATGAGCACCTTCTTGTTCTTGCTACCATTATAGTCTAGCGAAGTCACAATTGATTTCCTTACTGTTGTCTGTCTTAAACTGTGTCATTACAGTAAAATGTTTGAAACAGTGCAATTTAATAATAATTTTGATGCAGACAGGAGGGCTTTAAATACAAGAATTCTGTGGAAAGATATTCATGCTTTCAAAATAATGCGAAAATAACATATGGCACTTGATGAAGAAAGGAGCAATATATTAATAATGCATATAATCCTATCCCATTTAAAAGGGATAGAAAAAATTCTCAATTTAGAGGACGTTATATTATCTGAACTTTTTTATGAGATTTTTATTCATTTATTCATTCATTTATTTTATTCATTCAAAAATGAATATAATATACTCATCAAAAATTGTGAAATTAGATAATTGTTGATTTTTCTTGCTGCTTATTAATAGTGCTGAAATTAATATATATTGACCTCAAACTATATCCAAAGAGCTATTAGTGTGGGCTGTCAAAATGAGTGCTGTAGTTTGCTGTTGTTTGTAAAAAGAGTGAAAAGCTTTTTCATTGTTGCTCAGAGCACATTTATTTTGGCTTTATTCAAAATAAGATTAGTTTTATCTTGAGATTTATGGCAATGTACTCCTAGACTTTTCCTAGTAACATGGTCAAAAAGACTTAGGCCACAGTAAATTTGTATGTCGTTATGAAAGAACTCTTGCAGAAGCACACAGAGAATTTGAAAAGACAGAAAAAAAAAGGGCGAATTCAACCACTGAGCCCACAGAACTGAAACATGACTTTTCACTCTAGACTGTTTTCATTTACATTTTTTTTTCACCTCTCATTCCCCCGTTTCTTTTCTCCCTGAAGCAGTAGGGGTTTGGAGACTTCATCCTTGCGTTGAGTTTCACGCAGGTTTTCACATTTTCACACTTCTTGAACTTCTTTCTGTAAAGGCTTTTGAACACTAGGTGGCATTCGCTCAATAAGACAACTGTACTGCAGCCCTGTCACGGAAACAGAATCACAGAATCACAGTAAGGTTAAAGATGAGAATGAGGTGTCACCTGGTATTTCCAGTAGGGTAAAGACAACTGTGAGAAGCAAGGAGATGGCCTTTTCAGAACTTTTCAGTTTATATTAAAGGTTTTCTGATTTCAGGGTTCATCACACAAGCCATTTAGCCTGTGTGCAATTCAAAAAAATTATGGGCTTTTTAGCCGAAAAGAGATGCAAAGAAGTTTTCTTCGGAATTGCCCTTCAGACACTGAGTACTGTTACAGTAAACACCATGTATAAACCCAGTGTTCCTTGCATGCACCCTGAAGTGCTTTTTATTAGACATGTTTTACTTCAGTTTGTTCAAGAGTTATGTTATTACCAAATTTTCAGGGGCAAATTTCAGAAACGACAAGGCAAGATAGGGTTTGATTATTAATTTAACTAAGCCAAGTATATGAAGGGGAATATATAAATCGTTATTTTATCCTATAAAAGTTTCTGAAATCTTTAATTAATTAATAGGAGCTTTAGAAAGTATGCCTACTAATGCGTGTTTAATGTGACTTTCTTAAAGCAGCCTTTTGAATCTAGAATGATGAAGATAAAAAGCCTTGCTATTTTAAAAAGAAACAAATTTTGACCTACGAGATACTTGGGTTGTGTTACGAACTCTGAAATTTTGAAACAACGTAATGCTGTGGAAAAATAGCTTCATTCAAAATGTATGTGATTTAATTTCTGGTGATGAATTTTGTCTTTTTTTTAGCAAGAATCGCAAAGCACATTCAAAGGGAGAGTGTGTAAAAACAGGAAGAAAACTTTTAGCAGAGTTGTTGCCCATCTCTCCTCTCCAGCAGTTGCATGCAGCTGTTCATCTCTCTGCCGTCTTTGGCGTTTTCATGAATTGTGGTCATAAGCAGCTTGGGATTCCAGGTGTTTGTTTTTATCGTCTGTTCAGTGTGCTTGTTATTGCTGTAGGTCTCCTTTCTGATTGTCATATAGTCTTTAAGAATTCAGTTGAGAGAGAAACTCAGTGTTTAATAATGATGGATATGAAATGTGTCGTTTAGTAGCTGCACCATAATGGCATCGGTGGGTTAAGTTTTAAATTATACCGTGAGAGTGGATGACTTGCTTCTTATTAATTAATGCCCTGTTTCCTTTCATTTCCCTGTTAACAGCCACAAGCAGCGATACATCCTGCCATTTTCATAATCATTGATGAAATTTTCAAGTAAGTTTTGAAACTGTATGAAGGAAGCATTTTAAATGACCAGTCTAAGCAGAAAGGTTTTATTTTTGAATATGCAGAATTATAATTTCTGAATGTCTTATTCTTTAGCTGCTTGTCTCTATGTACTCTTCTGTGGCACGTATGACAAATAATAGCCAACCTTGATCTTGAAATAAAACTTATATGAAAGTTACACTGTAACACTTATTGATAGAGTTGTCTACATTGTATTTTAGTCTGTGAAGTGAAAATACGAATTTATTTTGTACTTTAGTAGGGTGTTATCTGAACTCACGTAAGAACAGTAAGTACTCAGCTAATGACTTCACTCATGGCAGCCTAAAGATCTTAGAGCTGAGCCAAAATATTTGTAATTATTAGTATGGCTTGTTTAAATTGTGTTAAACAATTTTGAGATTGATATAGCTATACTCTTAATGGCATTAAATTGTTGATCTGTCTGTATCTGGTTTTAAATGCATTTTGGAATATTTCCAAGTAATATATGTTGTTCACCACATGGGGGCTTCCAGCCCTTTGTACTCAGTTTTTGGTGGCTTTTTTTCTCTTCAATGAAGTTTCTTATTATTTTACCATTGCTTTGAAGTTATCTACCCCTATCCTAGCGAGTAGTGCATTTCTAGTTAAAAAAATAATGCACTCCTTGCTAGCAAGAACTGATAGTCCATTTTCAACAAAGCTGTTGCTTTTAAGAAAAAGAAGCAGCTTCTGGGAGCATATGTTTGGGGGTGTTTATGTGTCTGTATGTGTTTATGTGTCTGCGCCTGCGTGTTCAGGTTTGCGCAGGTACTGACTGCAGCTGCAGAAGCTGAGGACCTCTGTGTCGAGAGGGAACCATTTTGCTGCAGCAGCCCTTCCTGCTGCTGCCGCCCATTTTCTGAGCAGGGTTAGCATATGCTGAGCAGTTGAAGCTGACACCAGTCACTTTCCCAAGGAAAAATGGGGGCTGGTACGATACAGGCTGATAGGACTGCTTAGCAGACCTGTACAAATGTTTGAAGGTGGAGGCTGTTTAGTGAACATATTGTGGAAAAAAAAAAGGTTTATCAGTATTTCCACATTATACTTTGCCTTATCATTTTTCATGTTCCAGATGATTTTAGAAATTGAGCCTGTTTTCCTGTTGTTCAGCTGGAGTCCCAGCCTGCTCTCCTGCTTGCTTTCCATTGTGTCTGTTTAGTATGCTCATGCATTGCATCAGCTGATTCCTTTACTTAATTTGTTTTGAAATTACTATGCTTCTGATACAGTCATCATTAAATGAAGCTGTACGTGTTCACCTCCTTTTGCAGATTAGTTGTTTCTGTAGCTTTGTGTTCATTTTTGTTGTGCTGCTTTGACATACTTCCAACTTTTTTAAAGTGCTGCCCAGAAATTAGCTCACTATTATGTACTTAGTCCTGTGGGAGGTTTTAGAGAGCTGAGACAGAAATAGAACTTCTACTTTATTGCTTTTTACACTTGGCTCAAAACTTCAGATTTTGGTTTTGGAGGCCAGTACTTTGTCAGAAGCCTACATCATGTGTCTCTCAGGAATTATTTTTCCTGCTCTTTGTGTTTTGCTTGTTGAACTTGATTGTGTTGGTCCGTTTTACCTCAGTTAAGATCCACTTCCCCCCCGCCCCAGAAGCTTGTTTTGTTATTATGTGTGGTTATATAGAATTCTAGAGTCTTTGGATTCCTACTAACGCTTCTGCATTTTTATTAGAAGTTAGATTTTCCTCCAGTTTTTACAGGAATGTGTTATTTGTTCCCTGCTTCCAAATCAGTAGGGGAAGAGATAAGTAAGTCCCTAATAACTAATGTTGTGCTCTCTTAGTGGCAGGATACTCTGAACTGTTTTCCCCTTTCTTTCTAAGATGATAAGGAAAATTACTCTCGGCTGCCCTGGTCAACTTTGTTTGCTCAGCAAACCATTATGCGCAGTGGAAGGCCAGTTGAGACTTCACCTCCGGACATAAAATTTCCAGAATGGATTTTTATGATTTCATCAATAAAAGCTCTTGTAAATGCATTTGTCCCTAATTACACCTGTAGCCCTACTGATCTAGGGTACACCTCCGGTATATATTCATTTCTGTTTGTGTTTCTGACCAACTCTGGCATGTTATTTAATACTTGCATTCAATTGTCTTCTTTATTGTTGTTTAAGATGTAACTGCTTTTTCTACTTTCCATTGCCTCAGTAGGAGTGCAACACTTAACAGGAATAGTCAAAATAAGTTTATTTTGCTGCATGTACCATATCCCAGGAGATTATACTTTTTCTCTATCTTGAAATGGCCTGTAGGACACAGGCTAACAAAACATTAAAGCACAGCTTACTGTAGACTTGTGAATAGTTTTGTTGAACCCAGTAACACTAAACAGATCCTGAAAACTAAGGTGTGGTAGTCTGAGTTTTATTTGGTTTTGTCTCTTTGTTTCACCTTGTTGTTAGGGGAAATCCTTGTCTCTGTATATATTGTGTATATGTGATACATATAGTGTATTTGTATAGTTTACAGATGTTTAGTTAACAGATGTTTTCTTTAAAAAAACATGCCTCTGAACTTAGTAGTTCTAGAAGTTTTCATGCTGGCATAATAGCCTGATGAGTTCAGATGCATCTTGAGGCTACAGCATAGAAATAATGTATTTTCCCCCCTTTTTTCAGTTAACAGTGTTGGAATTGGCACGTGAATAATCTGACCTGACATAATTTAACTTTTCAATGCTTAGGAGTATACTACTGGAAACCGATGGAGCTCCAGAAGTTATGACCATACTACAGGTGTTTACACAGCTCTTTGTTCAGGCTCACCAGAATAAAAACAAGCAGGTTGGTTGAGATCTATTTTAATGCCTTTTTTTTTTTTTTAATGAAAATATGTAATTCTTAAGAAAAAAAATGTTAAGAATGATGATTGAGTGTAATGAGCTGATTAATAGCTTGGTTCAGACATTTTAACCTGAAAATAAAAGTGCAGTACAAGACCAGTATATAAAAGCAATTTACCTGACGTTACCTGGGAGTAATCCTCTGATAAAAATTGGGATTTACTAGTTTGTTAAATCAGTTTTTCTTCTGCAGTAGCAAGGAATTGCTTGATAAATGAACGGATGGGTATAACCCACCTTGTTTCTCTCCCAAAGAATCACAGGTAGAATATGAAATGGTAATTTTTTCAGTCCATGTGTCCATGAGGTCAAAGACCCCAAATGCAAACTGCTTTTACTTTTTAACCAATTTAAACCATCAGCAGTGGCTTTTTGGAGATCTCCATGGTCTAAAGCTTCAAATTTCCTAGCTCAGAAACTCTTCTCCTCCACGAGACTTTACTCTTACTGAATTAAGTAGAATTACTTTTTTTGTTGTGTATTGCTTTAACCAAGAGGAAGATCAGTTTCTCACTGTTAGATTTAGATTTTAAACTGCATGGCAAAGCTTGGGCAGACATCCTTGAAAAAGTTTCCAGTTCCTTTTATTTCTGCATCTTTTTGCAAGATGAGAGTTTGGAAAGGTTTGGCTCTTGGTGCTGGAACACGTGCTGTACGTGTGTCCGATGGTGCTGTGATGGGATCTGTCTCCCAGCCTCAGGCAGCAGGAGCTGAAGACGAAACTGCAGCTGCCTCGTGTGAGGTGCAGGTGTGGTGCCAGATGTACTGAGCTGGCCCTGGTCTCGTGGCCTCAGCGCTTAGTGTATCCCTGGATAGCTGGGGAGCACCAGGGCAGATCCCGTGCCCTGCGGACACCCGGGCGAAACCTGATGTGCAGGCAATGAATTCCCTTTAGGGTGAACATCCTTCACCTGCCAACCTTGTGACGTGGACCACTTGCCCACCTCTTTTTATTTTAGATGTTAAGTAGGCTTCCTGTATTCAATTTCTATATACAATTTGATTTTGGTGACTCTAATTAAGGTAGTACTTTAAATATTAGGATTTTAAATGCCTTGTTTCAGTGTTTATGAATCAATCATAATGTAACTAAAACTTGCCATATAAGAGAGCAAGCACAGACTGTTTCGTGAAGTTTGTGTAAATCACTGAGCAGATTTGTGTTGTCATACCAGTATTACATGCATTCAAAAGGCAAACATCTTTGTGGTGTCTGGATACACTTAACAGGACATGATTTTCTCCATTAACATTTTACATAGGAAGGGTAAAAATGCTTAATGACAGAGGACAAAGAGGGATCTGGTCAGGTCATCTGAGACTTCAGGAATTTATAATACAGTTAATTGAAAAAAAGCTGGGCAAACATATGTGTCCAAAAAATTGTTTCACAGAGCCAGGTCCAGTCTGGCAGCTGCGCATGTTTACAAGGTAGGAGGACAGGGATTCCCTGTGTCACTGGGGCAACTATCAAATATAACTGGCTTTTATAATAACTTTGGAGACCATTCAGAGAGAATAAGGATATGTAGACAAAGTGGAGTTTGGAAAAAAACAGTGGGGTGCATTTTAGGAGTAGACTTGCTCTCTGTTTTGCTATAAAAGAAAGATAGAGACTGTGGGATTTAAACCTATCTATTCATGGGAAAAGACCATTTGTATAGTCACCAAAAAAGAAATTTAGGGAAGGTTTTATTGGGACCACTGTTGGGATGATCCTCGGTGTTTTGCACAAGCTGGGTCATTTTTTTCAAATTTGTGGTGTAAGTGAAAAACGACTTAGATATTTGAGTCACATTAGTTCAGAATTTATAAACTTACTTGATAGAAAATATGATTTCCTCTAACAGTGTTTTCTCTTCATCATTTCGTCTTATCAACTGTTTTCACCTTGAAATGAATACTTATTTTGAATAGCTGATGAAATATTTTAATTGCTTTTTCACTTCATTTCACTTCATAAACATTTCCTGTTTATTGTTATGTGATAAACATATTGTTATGTCAGTTGTTATATCTAGCCAACCCAAACTTGTTATATCTTTTAGTACCTTGTTTGCTTGTTGTGATTGTTTATATAAGGAATGAACTACCTAAAATACTGTGCTATAGTATGGCAAGAAGCAAATATCTTTGCTTTGTTTAAACTATGCTATATGCTAAAAACCAGTTTTCACTGACCTTGAAATACCATTTTCATGGATTATTCATTCTGTGGATTGTCTTGGCTACTAACCGCTGCTTTTCTTGGGAATTTTTGGTGCTAGCTAATTGGCTACCTGTGTAGTTTAGTATAGGAATTACTTATTTTTAATTAGGTTAATTCCACATGGCAAATAGACTTTTAGAGTCTTATTACAACAATTACACACCGAGTGTTTGAGGATAGTATATGTATTAGCATAATGTAATTTCAATTAACTATTATTTATAGAAAAGAAAAATAATGAGAATGTGTGATTTCATTTATTTAAAAGATATGCATACATTTCCCGAATCTGAATGAAAAGTTATTTTTTAAAACTACATGAAGTTTTAGCTACGTTCATTAGTTTATCCCTTTCTATACGGTCTGTTTTCCAGGTCTGTTCTGAGAGCAAGTCTGTTTTGAAAGAACCTAGAAGAGTGCTAAGGTTATTAGCATGGTGATTTAAACAGAGTTCACTACCTACCTTGTGCAGAATCAAATACTAAGAATTTTAGTTTTCTATTTCTGAGCATATAAAAATAATCTGCTTCATACCTCAGATTTTTGTGATGTTACTGGTTCTTACCTGGATAGGTCCATGAATCCATTTACTACGTCATAAAGTGGAAGTAAAGAGACTAGTATCTCTCTCTACTTCAGAATATTAGAATAAAGAAAAACAAAGATTTTCTTTTTGTGTTAATAGAGAGGAAAAAAAGAATAGTAGGATTTAGTTCTAATCATACTCCAAATCCTTTTAAATGCGTATATTGAATTCATAAATACTAACCTCTTCTAAACAAGCTTTTCTTGCATTTCCTCTTTCTGTCTTTATGAAAAATGTTAAAATCAATTTTGTGTCCTTTTTACTTCAGATTGTATTGTTAGTTAGACGTTATATCAGTTATTTCAGTTTGGTAGCCATGGAAATGTCCTTTAAAACTGCTCCAGAAGTTCTTAAAATGACAATTCTTTTGTTTTAGCATAAGTTTCCACTGAAAGCCTACTTCTCTCACTGTCACCAGCCTCTTGTAGTAGCTTTAATCGGACGACCTTCTGGTGAGTTTCTGCATTAAAAGTTTACGGCATTGAGCTGCTTTGTCTGCATGTCTTAAAAGGGCCTAAGACAACATTAAATATTGGCAGTTCCTTAAATTGGATGTTTTAACTGCGGTCTCTAAAGATACTAAATATGTAATTATGAAAATTCTAATAGGTGTATTTCAAGAGTCAGTGTGTTGCCTGTTGCCATTGTTAGAGACAATGTTTGTCTCTAAACTTGAATTTGTCTGGACTTTCAGAATGTAACACATGATTCTTTTAGGTCAAGAAACTACTTATTAAAGTAGTACTGTTCTGCATGAGCAGCAGTTTCTGCTCAGGATAAGAGAGACTAGGAGGTTTTTCCTACAGGTTATGTGCTAATACTGAGGTAGAATTCATACAGGGGTACATCTACCTGATTTTAAGCTGTAGCTCTTTTTTGGCATTGTCAATTAATTATTCTAACAAGACACGGACAAACATAATTATGTCTGAAAAGTGGGAAATATTTAAATGAAATTTTAAATACTTTTTGAAAATTGAATAATGTTTTACAGAATTTTGTGGCAGTTTAATGTGGCTAATTTTGTTGTTTCAGTTGTATTCTGGCTAAATCTTTGCACTTCGTTTTCCTTTTGATTTTTATTCTCCCTTCCTCCTTAATTGCCAGCTATGCATTGCTCTCAGCACTTGAAATACATTTCGGAAATACTCAAGACGTTGGTAGAAGGTGAAAGCATCAGGTAAGCAATATTTTCTCTCTTTTTTTTTTATGCTTTGCATCTGTTGTTTCATGAAATATCACCTAGTTCGCAGTCTTTACTGGACACAATTCTTTAAGTGTAATTTTATTATTATTCTTTAAATTCTGCCTTCTTCTAAAGATTAGGACTCAGACTACCTGTAAAACTGAACTTTGTAGCACACATAGAGCTGACCAACAAGCCTCTCAGAAAACGGTTTTCTGCTGCAGTTGCTTTCATTTCAGCAAGCGGCTGAATTGTATCAAATAAATGCTTCCTTGCCTGCTCTCCCATTTTTCTCCTGAAACTTTCCTGGATATAATTTCTAATCCTGCTTAGCCTGAATTTCTCAAAATCATTGTTGTGCCCAGAGGAGGGGTGCAATGCAAAAAAGCCTGTGGGGACCTGTCCTTGGCAGTGCCCTTGTGTGTTTCTTGTCTTCAGGATGTAGATCTGCTGTGTACACTTAGACTTATGAAGAACCCCTTCCTCCTTTAAGGAGCAGCAGCAGAGTCTTGAGGAAGCACCATGAATGGGTGCACAGGGAGGTCTATCTTGGAGAAGGAGCGAGTCCAAACTGTGGGCTGAGAAGGAAAGGTTGCCTTCAAGAATGCTCATCGGATGTCTGGCCCGGCATTCCTCCATTGCTTTGAGTTAACAAGAGGACCCTGCTCATCAGGAAAGCAGCTAGTACTGGGAAAAGCGTGTAGGGAGCAGGATTGCTTATAAAGGAGATGGGACTGGCTTTCTGCAGGTTGGTGAAAACATCTGAACATCCAAATCCTTCGTTCCTCAATACACAACTCTTTGGCATGCTTTGTTGTATTGCACTGTGAGGTGACACCCTGTCCCTCTGACCTTTTATCCCCATGCTTCTGACCTTTTTTATTTAAAAAGTTGCTATAATGAATCATGGTGTCTTATCTGCATGAATTCTTTTTGGCAATAGATGTTGTGGGACTATATGAAAAGAATGAGAAAAGATAGGTCTCCATCTCCTGCTACCCTTTAACTCTTTCTTACCAAGTGTGTGATGAGATCATGAGTTGGTTAGTGCTGTGAAATACAACAAATACAGCAACCAAAGAGTGACCAGGTCAGATAGATCCACACACCATCCCTGTGTGCACACTTGGTTTCAGTTAACTTGAGGGATTTGCAGTTCCCTCTGAGACCTGCCTGTCATGTCAGCTGCATGTGTCTCACCGTGTGTTTGAGCGGCACCTTGGTGCAATGTCTCGCCTGTCCAACTCTGAAGTCTGCCCAATGTCTTCCCCCCTTAATTGTGACCAGTACCTGGTCCTGGCTTCTTAACATGGAACAAACAAACACAACAAATGTAATCCACCATAATATGTTACAATAATACCATTATGTCTGTTCTGCTTTTGTTGTTTAGTCCTTTCTTATCTTACATTGCTTTCTCTACACTTTGGCCTTGATAGGGAGTGCTTTTGAATTTTACTGTACTTGCCAGAATATCCTCTTATTTCCTTTACAATTCTTGCAGCAATTATATTTCCTCTCAAATTCCTCTCTACTACAAAGAAAATGAATCTGGTTTAAGTTTTTAAAAACTAACTTTGATAAGGAACTGCATTTCATTTGACTTCAATTGATTTATTGCAGATTCTATTCTTTTTACTTAGTAATATTAATAGAAGACCAAAAATTACTCCAGCACAGCATATCATTATCTCCTTTTCTTTTTTTTTGTCCCACTTACAGTGGAGTGCCCTCTCTGCATTGCTGATACACATGTTGGCTATCATTATGGGTAGTCATGTCAGTAAGCAGTAGATGGTACATTAAAATAGATGATAAAGTAGAAATCAACTGTGGTAGGTTTACAAGGGGGGAAAAAAATCCCAGGAAAGCTGGAGGATCCCTGTTTTTGGCAACATTCGTAGCTGGGACCACGGGGTGAGCAGTGAGGTGGATGACGGGGCAGAGGGGATTGGGATGTGACTCGAACCTGGGCAGTGGGTCAGGGTGCAGTGGGTTGTGCGTGAGGTGGCCGTGGCTCTCGGGGCCAGAATAGCATCCTGTGGTGCTGAGAACATCCTAAAGGCATTGAGGGCCTCAGCTGCAGCAATAGGGGTTTATCCTTCGAGCTATCAACACTCTCAGTTGTAAATACTGTCTGTCTAACCTTTAGTAAAGCTATCAGTTTCTAATAGCTTGCTTTTAGTTAAATTTCTTGGATGACTGTAGATGTTAGGAGCTTTCCTGTCCTCTTAATTCATCATGACATTAAATTATGATCAGGTAAGTAGATTGCTTTGGTGAGGGGAATGCTTTTGAGTCCTTGAATCCTTGAATCGCCTCACTATTTCTCTGAAGTGTTTAGTGGAATCAGGTCTGGTAAGATTCTAGATCTTAATTTCAATTAAGTGCAAATAAGGTGAAGGGTAGCCTTTACTGCAGTGATCACAAGTTGGTGGAGTTTAGGATCCAGCGAGGAGGAGGCAGGGCAGTGGACTTGCGACCGTGGACTTCAGGAGGGCCAACTTTAGCCTCTTCAGAGACCTGCTGGGAAAGATCCCATGTGCTAGGGCTCTAGAAGGAAGAGGGGCCAAGAGAGCTGGTTAGTTTTCAAGCGGCATTTCCTCCATGCCCAGAACCAGTGCATCCCTGTGCGTAAGAAGTCAGGCAGAGGGGGCAGGAGACCTGCGTGGATGAGCAGAGAGCTCCTGGCAAAACTCCAGCAGAAGAAAGCAATATATAGAATGTGGAAGAAAGGACAGCCCCCTTGGGATAAATACAGGAACGCTGTCAGGGAATGCAGGAATGCTACAAGGAAAGTTAAGGCTCATTTGGAATTAAATCTGGCAAGGGATGTTAAAAGTAACAAGAACAACTTTTTCAAATATATCAACAACAAAAGGAAGGTCAGGGAGAACGTGGGTCCACTAGTGAATGGGGTGGGTACCCTGGTCACGAAAAACACGGACAAAGCAGAGCTGCTGAATGCTGCCTTTGCTTCTGTGTGCGTCAGGGGCAGCCCTCTAGAATCCCAGGCCCTAGGGACACACGAAGAGAGCCAGAGAGAGGAAGGCTTGCCCTGGGTAGAGGAAGAGTGGGTCAGAGAACACCTAAGGAAACTCGACACCCACAAATCCATGGGCCCTGATGGGATGCACCCCAGAGTGTTGCGGGAACTGGCAGATGTCCTAGCTGAGCCGCTCGACATCATCTTTCAAAGGTCCTGGAGAATGGGGGAGGTGCCGGAGGACTGGAAGAAAGCCAACATCACTCCAGTCTTCAAAAAGGGCAAGAAGGAGGACCCGAGTAACTACAGGCCGGTGAGCCTCACCTCCATCCCCGGGAAAGTGATGGAGCAGCTCATCCTGGCTGCTCTCTCCAGACACATGGAGGAGAAGAAGGTGCTCAGGAGTAGCCAGCATGGATTCACCAAGAGGAAATCCTGCTTGACTAACCTGATCGCCTTCTATGAAGGAGTGACTAGCTGGATAGATGAGGGCAGAGCAGTAGATGTGGTCTATCTGGACTTCAGCAAGGCTTTTGACGCCATCCCTCACAACATCCTCGTGGGCAAGCTCCGAAGGTGTGGGATAGATGTGTGGACAGGGAGGTGGATTAGGAATTGGCTCGATGGCAGGGTGCAGAGAGTGGTTGTCAATGGTGCGGAGTCCAGCTGGAGGCCTGTACTTAGTGGTGTCCCCCAGGGATCAGTTCTCGGTCCGGTCCTGTTCAACTTATTCATTAACGACCTGGATGAAGGGCTGGAGTGCTCCCTCAGCAAGTTTGCCGACGATACCAAACTGGGAGGAGTAGCTGATAGCCCTGAGGGCTGTGCTGCCATCCAGAGGGACCTGGACAGACTGGAGGACTGGGCGGCGAGAAACCTCATGAGGTTCAACAGGGGCAAGTGCAGGGTCCTGCACTTGGGGAGGAATAACCCTGGACACCAGTACAGATTAGGGGTGGACCTGCTGGAGAGCAGCCCCGCAGAGAGGGACCTGGGTGTCATGGTGGACGACAAGATGACCATGAGGCAGCAGGGTGCCCTGGTGGCCAAGAAGGCCAACGGGATCCTGGGGTGCATTAAGAAGAGCGTCTCCAGCAGGTCGAGGGAAGTGATTGTCTCCCTATACACAGCCTTGGTGAGGCCACATCTGGAGTACTGTGTCCAGTTCTGGGCTCCCCAGGACAAGAGGGATGTGGAGCTGCTGGAGAGAGTCCAGCACAGGGCTACCAGGATGATCAGAGGCCTGGAACATCTGCCCTATGAGCAAAGGCTGAGAGAGCTGGGTCTGTTCAGCCTGGAGAAGAGAAGGCTGAGGGGGGACCTGATCAGTGTCTATAAATACCTCAAGGGAGGCAGTGAGGAGGAGGGGGCGACCTCTTTTCAGTGGTGGACAGCAATAGGACTAGAGGAAACGGCCACAAGCTGAGGCACCAAAAGTTCCACAGGAACTTAAGGAAACATTTCTTGACAGTGAGGGTGACAGAGCCCTGGAACAGGCTGCCCAGAGAGGTTGTGGAGTCTCCTTCTTTGGAGATCTTTAAAACCCGCTTGGATGCAGCCCTGTGCCACGTGCTCTAGGTGACCCTATGTGTGCAGGGGGTTGGACTAGATGACCTCTGAGGTCCCTTCCAAACTTGGGCATTCTGTCATTCTAAAGGAGTTTTGGCCTTTCTGTGCTTCCTTTTTCTTCCTGCAATACCTGCCATTATGAATATCTTAAAAATTTTCTTTTAAGGGGTTGAGAATTTTAAAAGTAAATGAATATCCTTAACAGACTTATATTTAAAGTTCAGTTAAGGATACTTCCTCCTATATTACCAAAAACCTAAGCTCTTAAACAGAAAAATAAATGTAAAGCAATGTAAGCTAGTAGTATGTTAAATTAATTTTATAGATAGGGTTTGAAGTTTTGAATTTAAAGTATAAATTCTAAAATTAGTAATAAAGATTAAAGTTACCGAAGATTAGTAACTAAATACTATAAAAATAGTCTTAAGATGTATATTTTAGTAGAAAATATTTTGTCACTGCTGTTTATTTGAAGCCAGTGTTAGAAATCATTTGTTGAACAAAGTCAACTTTTTAATAGCATTCGTGTATGTTTTCTTTAATCTTTACTGCAAATAATAAATACAGTGCATGAACACCTGCTTAACAGGTAAGGCAGTATCTACTGAAGAAAAATTTAACAATCATATTTAATGCCAGCACCTTTTTAGTTAAATGGGACATTTTGAATAACTTATAGTAATTTTTCAAATTGTTAATAACAGGAAATTACAGTTCTCTCCTTTTTTTTGTTTGTTTGTTTTCCAGATCTTTTGCTGACCTTTTTCAAATCTGGTTTTTGGTTGCTCGCTTTGGAGAGTGGCTGGATGTTGCAGCAGAGCAATTGCTGAAGGCCCCAGCTGAACCTGATGCTTTGCTGTGGCTGCTGGCATTTTACTACAGTCCTCAGAATGAAAACCAGCAAAGGACTCAAACAATGGTGGGTAGCCTGGAAATAGTAATCGGAAGTAAGCATACAACAGTGTGATTATATCTCTCTGCTATACAACCAATTGTGCATGCAAAAAAATAGGAGGTGTGCCCTGAAGAAGGTGTTGGTTTTGCATGTCTTGTGGGAATTGTGCTGCAGTGAGGGGATCCAGGGATGTTTTTCATGGATTTTCTTGCTGGTGACATTTAGAAAGCCTTCCTTCCCCTCCCTCTCCCCCCCGCCAAGGATATTATATGTGCCTCTTGGTCTCAGCTGCTTCTAAACAGAAGTTAAGCTGATGTGGGACTATATTTTTGAAATCTGTGTGGAAGACTTCAGGAGCCCTGTGTTAAGGTTTCCTCTTGAAAGTACTTCTTTCTCAGAGGATTCTGTAAGAGCAGCAGTAGAGGCAGCACTGAACCCCAGTCATACCCACCTTGTTTGACTTCCCTTATGCCTCCTCAGTGAGTTTTTGGCATGTACAAGATTGTAGCGAGCAGGTTAGGTTCCCATGTGCTCAGTTTCTAGCAGAATGTAGCAATGTTCTATCTGTGCTCCCTGTTGCATGAAAAGGGCCCTATGTCTGTGTATACACACATAGGCATGAAAATCTTTAGCTTAAACCTGTTTGAACAGGTTTGAACTAGCCTGGGGAACCTGTTCTCCAAATCTCAGATTCAGAATCTGACTGCAGTTTTCCTTAATTTTAAAATTAATACTTTTTGCTTTAAAATTGCAGTTCAATACACTGTCCTATTAAAACATTGTGCTTTCATTTTTCACCCAATCCCACACATATTACAGCGTTTGCAGTAGTTCTTTTCCTTCCTTTCCTCTTTTTCCTCGGCAATGAAAATAAAATTGGTGGTGCAAATGCAAGCTCCCATTCCCATCCCTTTTTGTTTTTTTTTCTCTTGAAGTTCTCATGTCCCTCTAGGACAGGAGCGTTTGTATCCGTGGGCCTGGAATCCTGACAGGAAATGGTTAGGCTGGAGCTACACAGGGGTGAAGAAACTGCAGCTTTAAAAGGAAATTTTAGGGAAGAAGGGAGGGCCAAGGGATTAAACAAAAGCAAATGAAAATGAAGACTGTAGGTGCTGAGAGTCTCATATATATGGAGCATTGTTCTGTCTCCAGGACTTCAAAATGAAATCACATTGTCCCAAATTTAGTCATCTCCCTGTGTGTCCCCTGTGCTGTTTATCGGTTTGTTATTCTCAGTGGTAATACAAGACAAATATGAGGGAGAAGTTTTTCCACTGAGAGCCCACGCAATTACTCATCTAATCCCGGAGGTCTCGTGTTTTAGTGCAGTATGCTTCCTTTATTTAGAGTTAGTTACAGTGAAAAGGATTTGTGTTCTACAGGTCAGGAGACTTGAAAGGAAATCCCACAGTTGATACAAAGCTGCTGCCTTGTCGTTAGCCTTCTGCTGTACTCTGCACTGCGCCTGCTTGGTGAAACATCAGGAAAATGTCCTTTGGCAGGTTGGCTTTCAGAGAAAATTATGGACACGTAGACTGTGCCATCCACGAGCCCTGTCTACAGGACTTGTTCCTTCAACACCTCGTGCACCTTCCACTGCTTAAGCAAAGACATTTCTGACCTGCTGATCCCCAGTTTAGCTGCAGATGGGCAGGAAGATGGGGTGGGAACTTGGGGCGTATTTTCATCTGGGAAGGTGGGTGCTCATGGCTTAGGGTTTTGAGCCTCTGTCAGTCTCTTGAGGAAGCAGCTCAGGTATGAGCAGGAGTGGAATGCCCAAAGCTAAATGATTTAAAGAAGAAAATGCCAACTTTGGCTCTATGCTGAGTTCTGTCAGATGTGCAGCTCTGTGCAAGTGCCCAGCCTTGCGCCCTTCTGGTCGTCTCTTGGAGCTCTTTCATACACTTAAATCCTGAAATATTGAAGGAAAAAGGTTGGAGATTGGTCAGGTAACGTTGGCTCTGAGAGAAGGTCTCTTAGGGTACATGAGTTTGTGGAGCAGGTCCCGCTGAAAATCTTGCATTGGTGGTGGACTGGATGGAGGCAAACCAAGAATGGGATCGTATGGGGACCTGAGGAATTCCGGTTATCTTGCTTTAGGTTCTGGTGTCGTTTGCTACCCCATATGTCATCCTGAACATGATTCACTGGTAGAATAGCAGCATTTTGGAAGCTGCTTTGTATGGAAATGATAATGGTGAAGGAATGAGAAGACAAAAGCAAAGAAATGACAAAAATTGTCCCTTTCATTTGGTTTGCAGTGATATATTTTTCAATTGTCTCTGCAGTTAGTGTCTTCTTTCTTTTTTCTTCTTTTTTAATTTTACTAGTCATTTAGTTTACTTTTAATATATGGTGAGCAGAATTAAGATTTTTTTTTACACTAGCTCCTTATAGTTCTCTTTCTATTGTGTAGGTGCCAAAAATCTTCTATTTTCTACTCCTAATAAAAATAAGCTTGTATTGGCTAACTCAGAAGGTAAAAACATGACAAAACATAAGTAGCCACACAGGAAGAAGGAAAAAATGCATTTTTATAAGAAGATTTTATCAGCTGGGGTCAGGTTGCATGGGGATTTAATTGATTTGTAGCAGCAATATTGAAGTGAGCCCTTGAGGAGCCTCTGTTCATTTTCCCACAATGCAAAAATCTATGTTCTGCTGAGGGATTTTCTCCATTTCCTTTTATTATTAAAAAAGGTCAAACCCTGGCTTGATGCCCCGTCTGCTTAGTTTGCAAGACCAAAGAAAGTTATAAAATTCCTTCTGTTCACTTACATGTGTGTGAATCAGTATAAAAGAAATGTGCACTGCCCTTCCTTCCCTGTTCTCCCTGCTGCTTAAATTCAGACTCTTTTCATGTTTGGGTAATGTTTGCCAAGGATTTAGTTTCCTGTTAGTGAATAGATCCAAAGGAAAAATACCACAGCTATGACCTTTACTCTTCTCTGACCCCCCATCCCTTTAATTTTCCCCTACAGGTAGAAGCTAGAGAAATCTACAGTCAACTTAGGATGCTCTTCAGTTGTCCAGCCCTCTCTGTCAAAGATCTGCAGGATGCTGTGCACAAAGCAGACATAAAGCAGAGTGGTGCTCAGCACCTTACAACACATCTTCTTATCAGCTTTTTACTTTTTTCTTCTGGTGGACATATGATTGCCCAGGAATATATTTCCCATGTAAGTGTTCCTTTCTTTTTTCAGTTTAAGTAAAATACATTTTTCTTAAGGGTATTGGATTTAAGTTCATACCTCTTAAGAAAGAAAACACCTAACAAAGGTTAAAGATGGTTGCAATGAAAGCAACTATATCGAACCTGCTACATCTCAATTGCAGCCACAGTCGAAGTATTTTCCTTCTTTCCTTCTTGGTGTTGCTTTCACAGGATACAACTGAAAAGATTAATGTCCTGACTACAGAGCTACAGAAGTACTCTAAGTAGCAGCTTGCAGCTAAGGAAAACCAGTATTTCATTTGCACTTGGCATCAATTTTGGCCAAATTTCCCCAATTACCAGTCTTTCCCATTATTATCTATCATCTGCAGAGGTTGAGAACAGCACAACTGTCCTTTTTCCACTATGTAAACTCGTAGTTGGTAAGTATGAGCACTGAACAGGCAGATGTTTGGTGCCTTAGGAGGCCACAAGTGTGATATTTCAGAGAGAAAAAAAACCCAAAAAACAGGACCTGAATGTTACTTTGGGGGTTAAAAAATACTGAAAAGAAAAGAAATAAAAGGTTGGGTGTTTGCTACAATACCTTGCTGGGGTTTTTTGGAGGACCTTTACAAGCAGTGAAATCTCACTTTGTGTCTTTGTATCTCTCAAAATGAGTAGTGCTATGTGAGAATGAGATTAGAAATTTCTTACTCTTCAGTTGTAATAGCATTTTTCAAGAAATCCAAGAATCCTGTGAGAACAAGTTTAGGGCCCTGGTATGGTTTTAGCGAAATTTTTCCTTTCAGTAGCAGAGATCTACAATTTTTCCGTTCTGTATAGGGTATATGACACTAATAAGGAATCTATTTTGATGACATAGAAAACTGAAAAACTGTTTTGGTTGTTATGCCTTCTGGCTGCCTAAAAAGACAGCGTTTTGCTGCAAAGACAACTAAGATGATATTTCAAGCATTTTAAACTTAAGTTCAGAAATGGTCAATGCTTCCTAAGCATAAAAATGGAATATTTAGAAATCATAGTTTTTGTTTGTCGTGTTCAAGGCAACATATATGGATTTTAAGTTTATGTGAGTATTTCTTCGTACATGCAGGTCATGAGCTAGTGTAGGACAGGGGTATGTCTGTTGGTTTTGTTTTGACTGCATCTCTGGAGGCTTTAATAAGTAGCTGGGATCTCCAGCTCAGTTTGAAGGCATGAAGGCAGTATGTGAAAGGCAGGGGAACGGGGATGCATGGCAGTGGTTTTGGTTAGCACAGCAAAATACCTAGAAGAACCTGGTCTGTAAAAGTAGTTGCTTAGTTTTTCCCTAGGATTTATGCTTCCCTGTCTTTCTTGTGCAAGACATATTTTTACCTCTGAAAACTTCACAGAACCTTTTTTCTCATGACCTCCTAAACCCAGCAAGACATTACCATGAGTTTAGCTGATTAAGGAGATGATTCCTACATGGTTACCTTGTCTGCCTGTTGTTCCTTTAAAAGTTTATGAACCACTTTGTTTTTCTTCAGCTAAATTTGAGATATTAAGGATCTCAAAAGTCCTGAGTTTTTTCAAGAAGCCTAAAAAGAGGCTGCTTGGGTAGAAAGCAAAATTTTGTTCTGAACTACTATTAAGATATCACAGCTCCAAATTTGTGCGCAGTGGTGAGAGGAAGGTCTGTGGCTTTCTGTGGTTTTGGTTGCTAATACCAAGATAAAATAATTACCAATATAAAGTAATCAGTGCTTCAGTGTACATTCAGAATTTGCACTTAGGAACTTAATTAAAATAAGTTAAATAAATTAAAATAATTAAAATAAGGAACTTGATTAAAATACTTCCTCTGTGCTCTGTTTTCCTTCAGGTGACTGGGACGAGGGAGGCGAGCCAGGAGGTTCGTGGCCTGCTCCTCCGTACGGCCCACAGAGTTAGACCTGGTGCAGAAGGAAACCCCAGGGCTGCGGCGCTGGCGAACAATCTGCTTCAAAAACTGGTGTCGAGAGCCTAGATTTGGGATGGATTTTAGATAGTGTTTATCAAGCCATGACAATTTATGAATCAGACTGCAACCCACTTCCATTGCTTGTTACCAAAGTGTGAAAAAACACCTGTGTTCAGGATAACCCTTGCCTCTGTCCTCACCTGCTTGGAAGTACTGCATGTTTGGAAATGTTAAACTATTAGAATGCAACATGAAATATTAAAGACAACTGAAAACTTCTTCCTTAATCTATTTTTTTCCCCTTCTCCGACAAACCTGCTTCGTTTGAAGCAGTTTATCCTTGTTGTTTGTCTGGTTATGAATCAGTTTTTCTTTTCCCCCAAAAAGCATGGTTTTATGGACAATTTGGTGGTTAAGCTATTTCTGAAATATTTGGTGCATAATTCATCTTTTACAAGACTAACAGTGATCCCAAGTGAGGACTAGTGAGTCATAGTGAATGAACTCCGTGTTCTCAGGAAATCAGCAGCGTTTCCTGCACTCCTCAATTCTTTTTGAAAATGTTTCCAGAGTGAAAATCCTCTCAAATTTGGGAGTGGTGTTTGTCAGAACTGCAGCTTTTGCAGAGTGCCCTTCTCTGCGACGTGCCATAGCAAACTGCTGGTCTGCACTGACTGATGCTGCAAGTAGGAATTTGCTAACAAATTCTCTTATCTTCAGTACACTCTGTCTGATGCTGTTGTTTAATCCCTCAAGAAATCTTTTTCACCTAGACAAAGCAAATAGAAGCTTAAGAAAAATATCTGTTTTGAAGGCCAAACTTTCTATCTCAAAGTTTTATGAATCTGTTCCCAATTTAACTAGAAAAAATAAGCATGCAGAATGGTAATGTTCTACGTGGAATAATACAGTGATCCTACTTGGACAACTGTTTTTGCCTATAAAATGTGGGGTATGTATCTTAAGTTAACGCAACTTTGTGAGTGTAGCATTTGGTTTTGAGCAGGAGAAAAGAAAAATAATGTATCCCTTGGTATAAGTAATGGAAGGATATTTTCTGGAATGCTGTTGAGTAATTTATTACGATTTTGTTCCTGATGAGTCATATAACACCAAATTACAGGAGTTATATGTCCTCTCAGACAATTTATTAGTATGTTTGTAATAATTACTTCCAGCATATGAAGAAGTAGTAAATATTTATTACATTTATGAAGAAAGTTGTCGTTCCTTTTGGATCAAAATGATTTCTGAATGAAAAATCAGGGAGTGAGTTTCTTCAGCCTTTCATTTGCTGGTAGCCACACGTAAGTACAGATCCAGTCAAGCAGTCTGCTTTCCTGCTCCCTAAGTACTCTGGAAAGGCATGACTCTTAAACCAAAAAGTTGCTTTGTTTTCCAAAAAACAAGACATTTGTTCAGAGGGAACACGTGTGTGCAGTACTGTCCCTAGGATGACAAATAACCTAAAAATTTGTTTTCAGTGGGAGAATGACAATGTTTATTTTATTACTTTCCTAATCCAGTTAGCATCAGTGGTGTTCGTTGATTTTTCTTTCCATATTAAAACTGTAGAATTTTAACTCTGGGAAGGATTGGTGATGAGGTGCCACAGACGTTTCCTGAGGGGGTTTCCTCGGTCCCATGGGTGTCGATGTTTTGGCACTGGGGTTTCCTCTACCCGATATTTGGAGACGTCTGTGGCTCCGAACCTGCCCTCAGCTCCTGGGGACGGGTTTGTCGCTGCCCTCTTGTCGCTGTTGTCACTGTCATTTTTCTACCATTAACAAAGCGCAGGAAATGCTTCTCCCCCTCTGGAGCAGAATCTCTCCCGTTAAATAGCGAGAAGTCATTTTAAGCACGTAGGAAATAGGCAGCAAGGGCAGAAGGAGCAAAAGGAGCAATGAATGAACTGCCTTCCCATTCCTCTTGTTTGGCGTCTGGAGAAGTAAGTGGCGCATGATTCAAATGTTGCAGGGAGTGTTGGCCCCTTTCAGGGTAGGATGCTTTAAAGAAAAAAATAGCAATTGATGCTATCAGTAACTTTAAAAGCAGACATCTGTACTGACGTTCTCCTTGCTGTATTTTGCATGGTTATTGTCAGCCTTTGGTGTTGCTCTCCTGGCTGTCAGTGCTGTACATCTAAGGCTGATAGAAACAGTGGCTTTGTGGCATACTGAAGCTGCTCCAGACGCCAAACAAGAGAAATGAGAAGGCAGTTAATTCAGTGCTCCTTTTGAAGGGGTTTGCTCTGAGCTGTGTGTGGATCTGCTGCTCCCAGGATCTGCAGCTGGATTCGCACCCCTGAGGCCTTGAGCGGGAATCCAGGCTGGCGGTGCCAGGGAGTGGATATGAACTCCCATGGACTGGATAAGGAAGTGATCAGGAGTAGTAAGGAGGTGATGAGGAGCAGTCAGCATGGATTCACCAAGGGGAAGTCATGTCTGACGAACCTCATAGCCTTCTATGATGGGGTGACAGGCTGGCTGGATGAGGGGAGAGCCGTGGATGTCGTCTACCTTGACTTCAGCAAGGCTTTTGACACCGTCTCCCATAACATCCTCATACGGAAGCTCCGGGACAGTGGGCTAGACGAGTGCACGGTGCGGTGGATGGAGGGCTGGCTGGATGGCAGAGCTCAGAGGGTGGTGATAAATGGGGCCGAGTCCAGTTGGAGGCCTGTGGCCAGTGGTGTCCCCAGGGGTCAGTACCGGGCCTGGTGTTGTTCAATTTGTTTATCAATGACCTGGACGAGGGCACAGAGTGCACCCTGAGCAAGTTTGCAGATGACACCAAGCTGGGTGGAGTGGCCGACACTCCGGAGGGCTGTGCTGCCATCCAGAGGGACCTGGACAGGCTGGTGAGTTGGGCAGAGAGGAACCTCATGAGGTTCATCAAGGACAAGTGCAGGGTCCTGCACCTGGGCAGGAATAACCCCAGGCATCAGTACAGATTAGGGGTCGACCTGCTGGAGAGCAGCTCCACGGAGAGGGACCTGGGAGTCCTGGTGGACACCAAGTTACCCATGAGGCAGCAGTGCCCTCGTGGCCAAGAAGGCCAATGGGATCCTGGCTGCATCAGGAGGATGTTGGCAGCAGGGGCAGGGAGGGGATCCTGCCCCTCTGCTCAGCTCTGGGGAGGCCAAACCTGGAGCACTGGGGGCAGCTCTGGGCTCCCCAGAACAAGAGGGATGTGGAGCTGCTAGAGAGGGTCCAGTGGAGAGCGACAAAGGTGATTAAGGGACTGGAGCGTCTCTCGTATGAGCAGAGACTGAGTGAGCTGGGCCTGTTCAGCTTGGAGAACAGAAGGCTGAGAGGGGATCTGATTAATATGTACAAGTACATGAGAAGGGAGAATGTAGGGAGGAAGGGCCAAGGTGGCCAGGGACAGGACAAGGAGTAATGGGTACAAGTTGAAACACAGGCAGTTCCATCTGGATGTGAGGAGGAACTTCTTTCCTGTGAGGGTGCCAGAGCCCTGGCACAGGCTGCCCAGGAAGGCTGTGGAGTCTCCCTCTCTGGAGATCTCCCAAACCCGCCTGGATGCCGCCCTGTGCCCCGTGCTCTGGGTGTCCCTGCTGGAGCAGGAAGGTTGGACTGGATGAGCTCTAGAGGCCCCTTCCAAGCTCCACCATTCTGTGATTCTGTAACTCAGGTAATACAGGTTTCATGCCGTGGGCATGAAACTCCCCTGAGGGAGTTTGGGATGAAATGTCTAGCAAAAATGTCCAGCAAATATCAAAACACCAAAAGAAAAGATCGATCCATTTCTTCAGCATTTCATCAAATGTCAGAACAAGATGCTGGTCCTGTGGCACACTGCATGGATATATCTATTCTCGTGAGGAAGGTGAGAAATCCCAACACTGAACAGCAGCTCCGCGGTAGCTCCCTCCATGGCGCCTTCCTAAGAAGCCGCTTTTCCAGGGATTTGCTGCTTGGGACCTGTTCCCGTGAGTGCGGGAAAGGTGTGTTCCCTCCCGCCAGGCCGGGAGCACCGACCTGCTCCCGGAGCGGCCGCGGGGCCGGCGCCCCACGGGAAGCTGGGCGCGCCGCCAGTTCTAGCAGTGGGTCTGTGGGTTCGGACCGTGCCCGCCGTCCGTGTTAGGGTCTTGCACGTGTGGGGAGGAGGAAGGAGCAAAAAACAACCCAGACTCTGCTGAAACTTGGTTGGGCCTCATTTTTAATCAGTTTTATTGCAGGGAAATTATTTATTACGACTGGGAAATAACAATTCCTTGCAGGACAGTTCACCTGAGCATCAACAACAGCAGAAAAAAATCCATCAATATCACATCCTTAATAGCCCTGCACATCCATTAATTGCCTTACCCATCCCTTAACACGTGTTGATGCTGTAAAAGCAAGTTTCACCACTCCTCTGTGCGAGATGGGTTCATTTCACAAAAACCCAGTTCCCCACAAGCAACTCTTTTTTTCTTTTTTTTTTTTTCATGTTACTTCAAATAAAAATACTGTTTGGGCCCTCTTTGGTCTTGCAGTTGCCTTTCCCTCATGAAATTAAAATAGTTTTCCATGTTCCTGAGCAAAACGGAGCCTCCCGCTCAGTTATCCTGCTTCCCAGACCACACCAGCGTCCTGGGGATTTCCCGCTTGCACCTGCCCGGTCAGTCTGAAACCTGGGCCTGCTCCTCGCTTGCAGGTTTGGATCTTCTGAAGCAGTGTTCGTGCAAGTGTCACTTGCCTCCTACCTTTAAAGTTAAATATTTCATGTGTAAGAAAGCAGCTCCCTTCTTGCTTGGATTACTGGTGCTGTGACCTGTGACTTGTATAAACTGTTCAAGGGTCTGACTCTGTTGGGGTTTTTGTCTTTTTTATATTTTATTTAGAACAAACTTGTAATGCTATCTGAAGACAACACTTTTCAATATCTCTATTATCATTCCCAGTGGAGACTTCCAGTAGATGTTTAAGCATTTGCAGCATCTCAACCATTTCCATATCAGCCTGAAATGTCTGCAGATGGAGTGAGAAAAGCCAGTATCAGACTCCACCGCAGCAGGAGGCCTCGCGATTTGCTGCGGTCCTTGGGGTGAAAGTTACTGGTATCTGTGTGTGCATGTTTGAACTTGGCCATCACCATGAACTGCTCCTGGGCAGGGGCATCAGCATCTCTTCTGGAGACACAACAAAAACATAAATTTTAGAGGCCACTCATGTTTTTCTTGAATGTTGTTTTTCAGGAGGTTTTCCTCACTCCTAAAAGACAAAAGGTGCCAGCACTGGCGAATGCCAAGTGCAGCTTAACGCAAGGCCTGGGATCAGCTCCCACTGCTGCCCGTGTCCTGCCCGGGCAAGCACCGAGCCTGGACACTTGCTGGAGTGGGGACATCTCCATGGAAAGACGTTCCCACTGGGACCTGGGTGTTCAGATGACGGCACATTCAGCACCTGCAGGTAATTACTCTGTATTTGTCTTGTTTTTCATGACAGCTTCGTGAACTTGGTTTCTTTTCAGCATTTTTTTCCCCACTTGCTTCATTGGCAAAGAGCTCTTGGACAGTTCATCTTTGGGCAGCAACACTAACTTTTCTTTCTCCTCCCCGTCTCCCTCTTCCCGCCCGTGTCAGAGGCTGGATCCATGCGCAGGTTTCCAGGGCAGAGCAGTGGGATGGCGGCCCAGCCGAGCGGCTCCGGTTGCTCCCCCGTGGCGGATGCCCCCTCTGGGACCCACACTGCCCATTGACCCACAGCGCCC